AATTTTCTATATATAATTAATTTTATACATATTTATAAAATTATTAATTATATTAATAATTATAAAAATATTGCTCAAAGTTTTCTATAATTTTATATTTAGTATACATGATGATTAAAATTAAGATTTATAAATAGCTATTAATAATTATATTTGTATCATATACTGTATATTTAAAAAAAAACTTTAATATAAAAAAAAACTTACATCGTTACATTATTTAATAATTAAAGAATAATTTGAGATATTTTAAAATATGTTATTTAATAATATATAATCATATTTACTTTCAAAAAAAATTGATTAAATACACAAAAAGATATAAAATATGTAAGTTTCTATTAAGATTAAAGAAATACTATATATATTAAAATTACTTTTAAAAATAAAAATTGAACGTCAAATTTCAACGTGAATTAAAAACTTAACCTCAATTTTTCAATACTTATAATGCATGTAAATTCATAATAATATTAGCTAATATTATGTATCAATAATTCAAAACTATTAAAAATGTATATATATATATTAATTATTTACTTACTAAAGTAAGCGCAGCGCGCGTGGCTAATATTTTTCTACCTTTGACAGCACGAACTGTCGCTGCAGCAACCATGGAAGAAGCCATATTGATCTTTTAACACTTTATAGTATTGTATAATATATATAGTAACGAATATGAATTCTTAATTTTTTTATTAAGTTTTTAGCAAAGATATATTATTATTATATATATTAATTTTTTTTATGTTTATCATCAAAGAGATGAAAACATTGTATAAATTTCCTAAATTAAGCATTAAATTTAATTTTTTTAAAATTAAAATCTTCTTAAAATAATATAAAAAAATATACATTTTTTTTATAAATATGTATAATTTCTAATTAAAATTCAACAAGTAAAAGTAAGTAAATAATAATAAATATTAATAATAATAAAAATAATAATAAATATTTGTAAATTAGGTAAAAAATAAAAAGTTCACTTAATAAAATTATTAAAATAAAAAAATTGTTTATGAAAAAAATTAATAATTATCAAAATTCTATTATTTAACAAAAAGAAATGTGAAAAAAGAAAAATATTCGGATGATTAATAATAATAAAAAAAAAAATAATTAAAAAAAACAAAATTTATATAAGTTAAAGTTTTTTTGAGTTTTTTTATTTTTTATAAAACAGTTATTTAATATTAATATAGTTATTTATTTATATCAATATAAATTAAAATTATTAACTTTATAGAGGTTTTTAGAATTGGATGATAAAAAAGAATAGATTTAAGATTTATTTATTATGCCATTTTCTTTTTTTCTTAAAATACATGTTTATGATAAATCAATGATTTTTAAGATAGTTGAAAGAAGTTCAAGAAAATTTAAAACTGTTAACTTTGAAAAGCGTCATTAACAGGTTCATCATCATCTTCATCTTCTTCTCCTTCACTTTCAAATGTGTTATCTGGAATATCGTATAATCTTATCATTGGTTTATTTGGATCTTTCATAATTAAATATTTTCCGTCTTTTTGTTTCATGCAAATATCAATAATGCATCGTAAAATACCCCATGCATTATCCATATTAAGATTGATTTGTGTTGCAAATTCATTTGGCTTATATTGCTGTGTACCAAGAATAACATGTTTACTAGAATCTCTAACCATTGCTCTAGAGACATAACCGAATTTCAATTGGTCTGAACCAGCTAACAATGCTTGAACAGTCCATTTAGCTAACTTGCAAGCATTATTGCGCAATTCATTTGCTAATACTGCACCACGTTGTGTATCTAATTTCTGTCTCCATTCAACTCCATTAGCTAATTTTGAATCCCATTCATTTAGAGCTTTAATTGTTAAAAATTGAATTTCATTATTAGGACCTTGCATTACAGCATCATGTTCACATCTTGCGACAAGAACAATTCCGTTATTTAAATCCCATTTTCTATACCGATATGCAACACTGGCAACATCACCTTCTTCTTCTTCTGAAATAAATGGATTTCCTTCTTCAAATTTATATCTAGGTTCATTTGATTTTAGTACTTGTTGAGAAAAATTATGATTAATAAATGTAGCTTCTAAAGCTAAATTTCTGGGAGAATTTAAAGAATTTCCATCATCTTGAGGAGGCTCAACACTGGTTTCATTTACAGTTAAGAGATCAAATTCGGTATTATCTCGTTTATCAAAGAATAATTTATCTCCAATTTTTTCAATTACAATATCCCATGAATAATTGCTACGAGTACAACACATTATTGTTGCTAAAATTGCATCTGTAGCATAAACATTTCCTTCTGTTTTTGAAAGTTTACGAATTATTGGATCGTCAGTAGTAGTAACTGTATGAAAGATTCTGTCAATTCTTTGCAATGGCTTTTCACTTTTAACATTCACTCTATCATAAGTTTTATCATAATATTCAAGAGAGCCACAACATAAAATATCTTCTCCATCTTTTACACCAGGTAAAGACAATTTAGCCAAACGTGGAAAATCCATTTCTTCAATAGTTACCCAATCAGGTCTTACAGTAACAGATGCATCGCGAATTTTAATTGGGGGTTGATTTTTATGATTACGTAATCCTTGTTGTCTGCCCCAACGTTTTGCTTGTCCTTTGCGATCTCTTTCACGAAGTTTTAATTTACCAAGTTGTTGCATTTGACTCAATGAACCACGTTGACTTCCTCGACCACGTAAATTTCTTTGATTATGGCGGAAGCGACCACCACGTTGATAAGGTGGTTTTTGTACACGAGTTGTATCAACTAAATGAAAAGTTGTTTCATCTTCATCATGATAATATGCATATTGACTCCCTGAACCAAACTGTGATGTATACTTGTCTGTAAACAATTAAAAATTTTTTTAAGTTAATGAATAAAATAAATAATGAATAAAATAAAATTTTTTATCTTGCAAAACAGTGATCTTTTGCTATTTTAAATTGTAATTATACAATTATAGAATATATTTATATTATAAGATATAAATTATTTAATAGCACTTACATTAAAGGAAAAAATTCTATTTTTTTTAAATGATTTTAATTGTAAATTATAAAAAAAAATTGAATTTTAAGATAGAAACAACAATTTATTTATATTATTTGCATTTTATTAATTATCACTCAAATAAAAAATTATATACAAGTTTTTTTTAACAATATAATTCAAAATCTAATGATTTTAAATTATATTATTTTGTAATAATTATTTTTTAAAATCTTATTAACATTTATTACTAAAATAATCATAAAATTTTTTCTTTTTGTATTAAAAATTAAATTTAAAAAATATACAAAATAGTATAGATTAAATTTTCAAAAATTTTCAATTTTATTTTTTTAAGTTTTTTTCTTAATATGTATTTATATTTTTAAATATTTATATTATAATAATTTAAAAAGTATTGAAAATATAATTAATATTAATTAAACAGTTAATAATAATCTCTTTATAACTAAAGTATAAAAATAAATAAATAACAAATAAAAATTTATATAAATTAAATTTAAAAAATGAGAATACTTACTGGGAAATTTTTTATCTTGAAAAGCTGGTGTAGTCCAATCAGATATCTATTTCAGAAAATAATGAAAATATAAAATATATTCATAAATAAAAAATACAGAAATTACAAATTGTTACCAACCTTTCCCAATCTATCGCCTTTTGAAAATGGTTGATAAGGTATATCTTTAAATTGATCAGGTAATTCACAAGGACCCCATCCATCGGGATTATGTTGTATTGCAGGAGCTTGAAAATGAGCTATTTCTTCTTCTCTTTGAACAGCATCTTCTAGGACTACCACGTCGTCCGTCATTCTGTATTTTTAATACAGATTACACGTTTAAACGTGAGAGAGAATCCATGGACACGATGGCAAAATCTACTTGCCGGAAAGATCGGCGACGCCATGATACTTAAAATAAAAGTTCATTCATGCTACTTACACATAAAACATATAATACATATAACAATTTTATTTGTTTAAAACTTTTCGTCAATAATTTGTATATATATATATTTAATTTACTTAATATTAAACATAAAATATTTATTACTATTTTATTTTAATTATTATTTTAATTTCAATATTTTTAAATACTTATCGATTAAACTTATATTTGTATAATCTTAATAAAAAGAATTTTCAGATATATGAATGTAATTACTTAAATTAATCATTACGTATTATAATTTATTAAAAAGAATAATACTAATTTTTTAAAATTTTAATACATATTTATATACACACACACATATATATATATATATATATTTTTTTAATATATATATATATAATGTATAACATTTTAATTTATAATTATTAAACTAATATATATATTATAAAACTAAACATGTTTTTAATTAACGTAATATGAACTAAATATTGTATTGTAATCTAACCTTTATATATATAAACATATTCAAATCATTATTGAAAAAAAATTTTGCCTCAATAATATAATCTCATAGTAATAAATTTAAATAAATTAATAAGCGATAAATGATATAGTTTTTTTCAATATAATTTTTTAAATAAATACTTTATTTTCAAAATTTTTTTGCTTTTTTTTTATGTTTCAATTGCTG